CAATTAGCAAGGCCCGGATCCCTAAAGGAGGAGCGCGAAGCCAGGAGGAGCCGTAGCCATGTGGCGAACTGAAAAGGACGAGGGCGAAACCCACGCCGCAGGACGTGGACCTCGGAGCGTCTAGTTAACCTACCTAGGGCTTTCGTGTGCACGAGTAGTCCGCGCAGGAACTCTCTCTTTGGCAGAGAGAAGTGCCGTCAGTGTGTGTTCTCGAGTACCGGTTCGTCTTCGTGTGTGGCATGTGGCATGCGCATGTCACACTGCGTCGCGGCTTAGCTTTGCGGTCGTGATTGTCTAGTGTATTGTAGGTTCCACTGTTACGGATTGCTCCGCGCTCTCTGCTCTCTCTCTCCGTCGACTCACGACTGACGACTCTCGCTCTCGTCGCACCCGGCGGTAAAAGGTGCTGTGAGTGTGACGCATGACCCCCCGCCAGGCGGGAGCCCGCCCGGCCGAGTGCCCCATTGTCCGCGCTCTCCGAACTGGCACTCAGTTCTAGATTAAAAATGTCACCGCAACCCACACATGCGAGCTCCGCGCCTTCCTCACGACGCGGAGGGCCGGACGCGCCGCTCGCCGCGCAGCGTGCGGAACGCCTCCAGCGTCGCGTAGGGCGAGCGGCTCGCCGGGTCAAAGTAGCGCGCGGGCTGCCCGGTCACGGCGCACTTGACCTGCGGCGGGTAGTCGGGCGCGACGTCGTCGATGGCGGGCGGCAGCGGTCCGTCGGTGAAGGTGACGTAGGTGCGGACGGAGTCTCCCTCGCGGGTGGACTTCGTCACCACACGCGGCCCGCTCGTCCGGCGGTCGCGCACCACCACCTTCCGCTTCTCCTCCTCGACGCGGAGCATCTGCTCGAGCGAGGCGCGGTTGATGATCTCAGTCTGCGCCGCCTGCAAGCAAGGCCGGGGGACGGCTCAAACAGATGGCCAGCCAGGCGGAGTGGGCGAGGCCGGGTCTGCGGGCCTCAGCGAGGATCTCCTCCTGCGTGAGGCGGACGAGCTCGACGCCCCGCCTGCCTGCCTGCCCCCTCCCCTCCCCCTTGCGCCGCTCCGCCAGCTCGATCGCCTGCCGCCTCTTCTCTTGCGCCTACCGTGAGGGCGAGAGAGAGGGGGGATCGCTCCTCTCCCGACCACCACCCGGCAGAGGAGCGGCGGGGCGAGGTCGTGCGAGGGGCGGCCGCGGTGTGGCGGGGCCGCGAGGCGTCGCGCGGGCGGAGCGGCGGCGCGGAGCGGTCACGCGCCTGCGCCGTCGCGTCCTTTGTCGAGGCGCGCAGCGAGCCGCGGGCGACGATCGGGTCGAGGCCAGCCAACTCGCTGCGAGGGCGCTTGCGCGGCCGCGGCGCCGCGCCGCCGCCCGCGCCGCCCTCGCCCGCCGCCTGCTTGTCCGCGCGCGCCTTCGGGTCCACATACACCGACCGCTTCTTCGGCTTTGCCGCCTTGCGCGCCGCCTTCTCCTCCTCCTCGCCGTCGTCGCCGTCCGACTCGCTGGAGTCTCCAAAGTCGGAGTCAAAGGAGTCGGCGCCCTCGTCGTCCGCCTCCATCGCGTACTCCGCGTCCTCCTCCGCGTCCGCCCAAAAGTCCTGCTCGTAAAACTCTTTGTCCGCGTCGTCCTCGCGCTCGTCCTCCTCCTGCGCGATGAGGCTCGCCATCCGGTTGCCCTTGGACGCGCGCGCGCTGGGCGCGCGCCGCGCCGGCGGCGACGCCGGCGGAGAGCCGTCAGAGGACATGCTGTTCGGAGAGGTCGGCCGGGGCGCGCTGGAGCGCGACCTAGCGGGCGAAGTTTTCTTTATTTTTCGATTCACGAAACAATCGCAACGCGAACCGTCTGAAAAGCGGTGGATGAGGGTACTTGAGGCCGATTGCCTCGAATTCGATCAAATCCGGATCTCGAGTCAGACTCGCGCTGGCCGCTGGCACTGCTCTGGAGAACCGACCGAGCTGCAACATGCGAGCGACGGTGACGTCTAGCCGAGCCGCTACCCGCTCGGTGCGTAGCGTCTGCACAGTCGCCGCCCGCGCCTCGCATCATCCGATTTCGCAGCACCCTCTGCGGAAGGACGTCGCCGGAGTCCTCCACGGAAGGCCCTTCCCGCGACTGGACGCACTGCCTTGCGCCGTCACGGCGATCACCACCACGCACAAGGAGCCGTTCGAGCTCGAGGGCGTCGTTTTCCCGATGTTTTCGCAGCGCCACCTTCTCGACAGCGCCACCCGCTCTGAGCCTCCGAGCAGCATCGAGGCCGCGTGCGTGGTCGGCCGGACCAGAGAGGAGGCGCGAGAGGAGCATTCGCACCTCTCCCTCCTCTGCGAGCACTTCCTCGTCCCGCCGCCAGAGGCGTCCGCCACCTTCTTCACGGCAGACCTCGGTGGCGCGGGCAGGCTGCGCTGGGAGCAAAACACCGAGGCCGCCTCTCCCTGCCGCACACGACGCCACCACCTCCCCTCCTCCCGCCTCCGCCGCCTCCCACGCTCTCCCGCTCCTGCGTCCCCTACAGGTGAGCACGTACACCTTCCTGCGGCCCCTCCCGGAGGAGGGGTCGCCTCTCTTCGAGGCGCCCTCCCTCTCGCTCTCCGCGGTGCCGGCCTGGTGGCTCCACTCCCTGCCGGGGCGCGTGGTCGCCGCGACGCACATCGCCGTCGTCTCGCGCGAGCCTCCGCACCCGACGCACATCGACATCCGCCAGTACTCGCCGCACTTCAACCGCTCCAGCTTTGTGACGGCGGCGAGTGTCGACGACGGCGACTTTCGGGTGACGACCGACTGGCGCGCGAGAGGGCCCGAGAGGGCCCGAGAGGGCCCGAGAGGGCCCGAGATATGACCCCCGAGGCACGAGGGCGGCTGCACCTCGGTCAAGGCATCTCGCGCAATCTGGGCGGGCGGAGGTAGGCGCGCGCACGAGGACGGGTTCGTCCGGCTCCTCGTTGAGGCGCGAATCAGCAGTCAGCCAGCCACTCATCGACGACTAGCTAAGAGTGGTCGTCTGGCTCGTCGAGGCGGTCCCGTCCCGCTGGCAGCACCACGCGCCCGTCGGCGGCAGAGGGCTCGACGCCGTGCGGCAGGGCCTGGCGGTGGCGGCCGCAGGGCAGCGCACGGCGGCGGGCAAGGTGGTGCAGCGCCTGATCGAGCTGGACAAGTACCGCTCCTTGGCGCTGATGGCGCAGCCGCTGGCGCGCTCCGTCTCTCCGCGTGTGGACGCGCTGCAGGCGCCAGTCGTATTGTGTGTCCGGATCTCGAAAGATCTCGCGGAGCGGAGGACTCACGCACACGGCTGGCTTGGTCCTCAGGCGCAGCTGCAGGGCGTCAACGACGAGCTGCGCCGCTCGAGCGCGTGCGATCTCGAGGGGCAGCGCAGGCTGCTCGACGGTCTGCTGCGCCTCACCGCCACCGCGTTGCGGGTGCAAGAGATTGCGAGCTACCGCTTCTCCGCCGCCGCCGCCTACGCCAAGATTGTCGAGGACCGCGTCTCCTTCCTGAGGCTGGGCCGGCTCGAGGGCGCGAGGGAGCCCCTTCCTGATCGAACCTCGGGCTCTCTCGGCTCATCTCGGGTACGATCCACAGGCGCGCCGAGCTTGGAGTCCTTCCTCATGGGCGCGCTGCAGCCCGCGATGCGCAGCTGCAGCGCCATGTCCGCGCGGCTCGCGTCCGTCGCCGCGACCTCCCGCACCACCATCGACCTGCTCCGCGCGCGGCTGACCGTCGAGCAGCAGGCGCAGAACGTGGAGCAGCTCGAGCAGCTCAAGGAGACGGCGCGCACGCAGCTGCTGCTGCAGGAGTGCGTCGAGGGGCTCTCTGTTGTGGCCATCACCTACTACTCCACCGGCGTCCTCGGCTACGCCGCAAAGGCGGCGCACACACTCGGCTACCTGCCCGTCCAGCCGGAGGTTGCGCTCGGGTGCGGCATGCCCCTGGTCGGCGTGGGCGTCTGGGTCGCGCTGCACCGGCTGAAGCATTCGGTGCTGGGCGAGCGCCCGGCAGCGCCGCCGACGCAGGAACCGCGCGGGTGAGGGGAGGGGCCGGGAGGGGGCAGCTGCAAGTGCATGCTCTCTCGGAGCAGTTGTGAGGACGTACAGTAAGCCGTGTACTCGAGGGTTGATTTTACACTTGACGATTTGTCCCTAGTACCCCCCAAAAGTCCGAACCCTGGACTGGCAGGGTTCCGGCTCCTAGCCAGATAGGGGGTCTCTGACTCTGTTCACCACGGTTAGACCCTATGCAATAGGTGTAGGTAGGTAGGGCGTTTTGGTGCGAGTCAAACAGATCGGCTATCTGCCTACCTCCAGTAAGCAGTATCGGAGTTTTGTTAGTATCGAGGTCTCGGGAGTTTTGTGCGCAAATCGGCAAAATACCGGGTATTTTGCCGGTTTCCTCGGTTTCGCCTCAGATTTTGCCCCAGACCAGCTCTCAGACTCAGGGAAACTCGAGAGTTTCCAGAATGGAGCTCCAAACACCCTCTGGATTTCCGGAAACGAAAAGTGCTGGGGACCCTCTCGTTTCCTTTTTGGTTTCCGGAACCATGACAAAACTTAGAGTTGTTTGGTATTGCTAAAATCTCCGAAACATGAGTGCTGGCCAACGCGCAATCGCTTCGCCGTGGTCGAGTTAGTGGGGTAAGCCGCTGACGGCAGACCCGCAGATTGGCTCCCCGCGTGACAAATTAAGCTCCATCCATGTTTCCTTCCTTACCCAGCCTTCGGAGTGTATCCTGGCTGTGGACCTTTGACTCTCGCGACTTTCCTCGTCCGTCCCCACTCCGCCCACTCGGTGTGGCGCCGCACCCCCTGTTGTCGTCGTCGCCGCCTTCGCTGTCTGCGGCAATAAGTCGCGCATCATTTCGCCATAAGGCCGTCTTTCATCGAGCAGGGTCACCGAGATCCTCTCCAGAACGGTGAGAACCGGCTGCTGTCGACACGCAAACGTCCTCGAAGATCAGGATGGCTTGCCCTCCCCCGAGCGGCAGGATGGCATGCACCATCGTACGACCACATTTGTGCAATATCACGATGTGGAGCATGCACGAGGGGAAGCTCGCTAATTTGAGGGCGCTGCGTGAACTCGGCGACAGACTCCGCATCGAGTTTTTTGCAATGCATGGAACGCTGCTCGGATGGACGTTCAACCAGGAAACGCTTCCGTGGGATGAAGATTTGGATTTCAGCTTCGACGGGGTCCATCACCCCGCGCTTTTGCGCTTCGCCCACGCACACCGCGGCAAGCAATTGCTTGAGAACAACAGCGTGTCCTTTTTCGAGATGCCCGGACCACGGAACCATATCGAATTTCGCGTCCAACACGTCCCGACCCGAGTCTACACCGACATAACCTCCCTCCGAGCCACGGACAATCAGACCGTGCTGCAATGGAAGGTCAATTCCTCTCCCACGAACAAGACGCCACCGATGTTAGTGATGAAGTCGTCCTTCAACAGCTTGAAGCGTGGACACCAGTATCGCGTGGACGATGTGTTCCCGCTTGCGCCGTGCGCCATACACGGAGAACCGCTGCACTGTCCCCGCAGCCCGCACAATGTGCTGCTTCAGGAGTATCCGCATTATTTGAGGCCCCTCTACCAGCCGCCAAAGGGCCAAAGTGGACAGCTGAAGTGGCGGTACGAGCGCGGATGTTGGCACGAGGTGCAGCACACGTCGACGCGCCGTGGTTGGGGCGGACGTCGATCGTGAGCGTGCGACGTGCGCACGCTCCGAAGCGCCAGCATGTCCGTCGCGTTGCACGCCGCGCATTCCGTCCACAGTTGTGAGTGTTTGCATACGGCCAATCTGTCCCCTAGCTTCACCGCGCGTGCGATCCTGCGCCCACTCGCTTTTTAGTATTCGGAATACGGGCGTGTGTGTTATTAGTCTACCAGCTCCTGTCCCACCGCTCTCTCCTGCCGCTTCCCCCGTCGAGTCCATCCTCTCGAGATCTCTTATGCCCGTGCCTAGTGTCGTGAGAGGAGTTTCATGGTAAAGTTCTCTTACACTCAGAACAGTGTCAAAGTGAGAGATTAGCGCGCTCCGTTTGCAGACCGCCCTGGTGGACTCGTTTACCACGCGCGCAAGCAGATTGTGTTCGTCTGTCGGCGCATGTGTCGCTCTCCTCTCTCTCTCTCTCTCTCTCTCGCGCGCGCGCGCGCGTCGAGTCGACGGCAAGGTGCAGCACTGGAGGCAAACGAGCACGCTCGCGCTGCCACGTGCCAGCGCCTCTTTTTCTTTTTCCAGAGTACTGAAATAATGCTCTAGCAAATCATCCGCATTCAACGCCGCTGGGGGGGCCTCCGCGCCCGCATCCACTAGTTCGTCGGCCATCTCGCCTGATAGGAGGTCTGGCCGTGCATCCGCCAGAGTCTCGACTGTGGCTGCCGCGCCCGCGTCATACGTGGCATTGCCGATGGCCGCACGGCCACACAGCGTGTGCCAGACGCCAAACGATTCTGCAAAACTCGCGCCTAGGGCCTCCGTCGCGCCTGCCGCCGGCTGCTCGTCGGCAACCAGCGCGGCGGCATCTGTTGCGCCCGTTTGCCGTCGCCACCGCAGCCGCACCTGCCTGTCACCGCACCGCTCGCAGTGCAGCGCCTCAAAGCCCTTGGCCGAGTCAGGCCACGGGATCGTCAACCCGTCCGCTGCACACGGCTCGGACCCGCATACTAGCGAGCACAATCCCTCGCTGGTGCAGCGCTCGCGGACGTGCTCGTACACCGTCCGCCGCATGCGTTCTCGTGGCAGCACGTGGAGCGCGCCCACGCGAAGGATCGAGCCTTGCAGCACCGCGGGGAGGTCGCGCAGCCAACGCAGCTCCCGCGTCCGGTCGCGCCGGTCGAGCCCGAACGCGATCGCCTCGTCCTCGGAGCGAGGAGCCCAAGCGTGAGTGCTCATCATCGCGCGCCGCAACGATGGAGTGGTCCGCAGCCGCTCCTGCCCCTCTCGGTACACGCGGAGCCGATACGCCTCGACAGCCCGCTCCCGCGCCTCGTGGACCCTCTTCTTTAGTCGTGTCCGCGCCCCCTCGTACGCCGCCGCCTCATCGGCGAGGCCGGCGGCCTGCGCCGCCGTTTTGTGGTACCTGGGCAGTTCTGCGACGCCGAGCAGCTCCTGTAGCTTACGCCGCGCACTGTCTAGCTCCGCCTTCGCCGCAGCCACCGCGGCGCACCCGTCGATCTGCGCCTGCAACTCGCGGCAGCTTGCGGGCAAATCGGCGAGGCTGCGCACCCCGCTCGCCTCTGGAACCCGCGACGCAGACAGCGGGGACAGCGGCGACCGCGAGACGCTCTCTATCGGACTGCGCCGCATCCAGTACGCGCCGAGGTCGCGCGTGCGCAAGTCGGTGGGACATAAAAGAGAGCGAGTACTTGGGCGAGTAGGCCGTGCGGTCAACGTTGCCGCGCGCGACTTTGAGCGCGAGGCGGGCGGCGTAGCTTGAGAACGGCGGTGGGCGAGAAGCCGCCGCCGAACGTCTCGTGGAGCAGCAGGTTGAAGTTGTTGCGCTTGACAAAGATCGCGTCGTGGTAGAAACCGCGATGCGCCTTGACGTAGCCGTGGCCGTTCTTGCAATCGATGGAGGGGGGGGGGGGGGGGGGGGTCGGAATGACGACACACGCTGTTGGTCGTCCAGCGGCTCCTTCGCTTGAGCACTTCCCTGAGCACTTCGCTTTCTCTGGTCCGCCTCCCCGGCCCGCCCTGCGACTCGCCCGAGCGACGCGCAACACTCGTGGTGCCCGCTGTCGCGATGATCGTGCCACCTCAAGTCCTCTCGCCAAGTCCTCTCGCCAAGTCCTCTCGCCAAGTCCAAGTCCTCTCGCCAATTCCACTCGTCTGCGATTGACGGCTGAAACTCTCCCTCACAGGCTGAGTTGCCACGACCTTCTTCACACCAACATCATGTTCCTACACGTGATCCTGATCCACCTGTCTGGGCCCAGTGCCGTCCAGCTCGACCCAGACCCAAAGGTTGTGCATGGCGACGACCACCGACGCGATTATTATCAGCTCAACCCGAGCGACAACACCGACGCGCTAGCTCGCAGCCTTCTGCAGAACGCGATCATGGCACAGGTCCCGATCGCCGACCTCGGCTCGCCGGACTCAGATGGGATCTATCGCGTGCTGGATGACTACCCGGACTACTTGCGGCTCGGTCCCTCTCTGAACATGTGCGACGGCGAGAGATTCTTGCGGGACCCAAGGCTCTCCCGCTGCTCGGCTACGCTGGTCGGACCGAGCCAAGTTATCACGGCTGGCCACTGCGTGTGGACCGAGCAAGATTGCGAGAACTATGTCTATGTCTTCAACTACTATGTTATCGGCTACGACTCGAACGGCGATCCCATGTTCCCGGAGATCTCTGTGGGCGACGTTTATTCTTGCGCGTCATACTCCACCGAATACGCAGAGGATGCTTATGGAAATTCCATTGGCGGCCTCGATATTGCGTACATCACGCTTGACCGACCTGTGGTCGGCGGCCGCAACCCAGCCACGTACCGGAATTCGCTGGTTCCAACCACGGTTGGCCAAAAGCTACTGATGATTGGCTTCCCGTCGGGGCAGCCTGCCAAGGTAGACGACGGTGGCACAGTCACACGCACCGGGGCTTCCGGCTACGAGGAATTTACGGCTTCCGTCGACTCATTCGGAGGTAACTCTGGCTCAGGCGTGTTTGACGAGAACGGCATCTTGATCGGTGTGTTGGTCCGCGGGGCGACGGACTATGTGAATACCGGGTATTGCACGGTGGTAAACGAGCTCACAAATTCGGCTGGAAGCGAAGCGATCACCTACGTTCACACTGTTCTCGACCTGATACCGCCTCCACCATCGCCGCCTATCATATGCTCGTATTCCGTGAGCAATAAGGTCATCGGCGAAGGAACGAGGTTTACGATGGGCACTTTCAGCCAGTGTGACACAAACGGGTACACCAATCTCCGCTGGTCTGTGAGTACGTTCCGCACGGACAGTGATGGACATGTCATTCTCAGTGCTCAGTGGGAGGACCAGACCCTCTACAAGTACTTTGAGATCGATGGGCTCACGGACGATTACATCGACTACAACGCCAACCCAGTGACGGAATCCACCGCCTCAGGTTGGGAAGCCACTAACGCACGCGTGGAATTCAGTGCGTCTTGCATCGATGACAATGAGTGGTGCGGGGCTACGACGGCCTACCTCGCTAGCTGCGATTGCACCTTCTCAACGACGTGGTTCCTCTATGGCGACCTACCACCCTCTCCGCCTCCGCCATCTCCGGCTCCGCCTGCAGGCCTCGCTGGCCCTTGCCGGAGTGAGCACGGATCGTCGTTGGGCAGCCGTATCGTTGGTGGAGACGAGATTGAGCCCCGTGAGCACGAGTTCCTTGTGGCCCTGCTCACGGGGCTGTGTGGAGGCACTCTGATCGCGCCTGATTGGGTACTGACCGCCGCCCACTGCTTCGTGGGCACTGACAGCAACGGCAACGAGTTGGGCCCACCCGAGCGAGTGTTTCTTGGCGCGCACGACATCACTGGCTATGACTACGACCCGACCAACGAGTGCATCCACGTAATCGACGTCGCCAGGACCATCGCCCACCCGCGGTACAACAGTGCCACCATGGAAAACGATATCTACTTGATCAAGCTGGCAGAGACCACCTCGTACGCCCCGATCGATGCACTGGATTCTCCAGACGCAGAGTGGCCGGCCGGAACACTTCTCACTGCTACAGGCTGGGGCACGACCGAGTCTGGAGGGGATACATTTGGGGCTGACGGTGTTCCCCTCGACGTGCAAGTCCCCGTCGTGAGCAACACCAACTGCTTGGCGGCTTACGCAAACGAAAATGTGGCCATCACCGAGACGATGCTGTGTGCAGGCCGGGCTGGCAAAGATTCGTGCCAAGGCGACTCCGGCGGTCCTCTATTTCGGGTTGACGTCGATGGGACCGAGACGCTAGTTGGCGTTGTCAGCTTTGGCATCGGCTGTGGTGACGCCGACTTTCCCGGCGTCTACACTCGGGTGGCCTCTTTCAGAGACTGGATTTGCGACAACACTGACGAACAGGTTTGCCACGGCCGTTCTCCGCCCTCACCGTGCGCCGACAGCCAATCGTGGATGGATGCGTGGGGGGATGCTTGCTGGTGGTATGCGGAGAACGACCCCGGCTGCTCTATATACAACGATAACGGGCAGCAGGCGAACTGCCCTTCCACCTGCGGCACGTGCCAGGCTCCACCGGCCTTGCCGCCACCGTCGCCGTCTCCCGCCGTGTCGCCGCCACAGTCGGGAGAGCAAGGCTCGTTCCGAGTCGTCGCCTCTTTCACCGCGAGCGGGGAGGTAAGCAACTTTGATGAGGCCACCAAGAGGACCATCCTCGCAAAGCTTGCCCAGCTGGCCGGCCTCAGCTTCGTTCCTCTCGATTCGACCCTCGAAGTCACCGCTGGAAGCGTCATCATCGTTGCAAAGTTCCCGGTTGCCACCGAGTCGGAAGCCAACTCGGTGCAAAGCAGCCTCGCCTCGTACTCCGAGGCAGACTTCGAAGCGCAGATGGGACCTGTCCTTGCTGCGGTGGGGTCAGCCGTCGTAACTACCGTTGTGGTCGAGGTGAAAGGAGACCCGAAGCCAACTGAGAGCGATGGCTTCCCTGTGGTCGCCATTGCAGCGGCGGCGGCAGGGGTGGCCGTCGTGGCTGCCCTCGGGGGTGGCTACGTTTACTACAAGAAGAAGCGCCGGGCTGATGAGCCATCGATCGTGGGCACGCCCGTGGAGAAGGTGGTCGTCGCCTCTGCGTGAGACCGGAGCCCCCGCTTTCTTGCCTGATCTCAAGCGCGGCTCAAAGGGGCGACGCGAGATGCTGTGCCCATGTACTGAAAATGGACTATTCATGACGCTCGCCCACGCGGCCGGTTCCGAACGAGACCAAGCATACATGAGACGAGAGGGCTCCGGCCAATTGTGTTGACGCACTACGCAGTCGAAAGCGGACCCGGGACCCGTGCGGTGCCGCTGTGTTCGGGATCGGCTGGTGCATTATAGAGGGGTCAGGGGAGCTACCAGATCGCGCTCTCTCCGGCCGACGACGCCGAGGCGCGTCCGACTGGAGCGCGCTGTCCGACGTGTGGCGCGCTTGAGGCCGACCGAGAGACGGAGAGAGGCCGAGTGAGGACGCGAGTGCAACAGAGAGAGAGAGCGATGCGCTCTGCATGGTGGGCTAAAAAAGTCTCGCACAATCTCTAAAAATCTCGAACCCAGTGAGCGCGGCAGTAAGTGATGACTACCCCACCCATCCTCTCCGAACGAAGATTCGTTTACCGGCTTCTCTGATGAACACCAGTGAGTGAGGGAGGGCGAGACGACCGAGGGGTCCCGAACCATGCGGAAGGCGCCGAAAGATAAGAGAGATCCCTTCCTTGCAGCGAGCCCCCTCCAACCCACCCGCGCTAGGTCCTGGGCTGCGAAGGGGTCACACCGCGCTGCCAGTAGCACCGCTCGCGCGTTCGGCGCACTCCCTGGCACCCAAGGAGTGCGCCTAGCCGACCAGACCGAAAAGGCTCGACGCAGCGCTCGCTGTGGGGCTGCCACAAAGTCGCCGCCGAGCGTGCCACCGAAGGCGGCCCGTCGGAGGTGATGGAGTGTGAGACCTGAGGCTGCGGAGGTGACGCCTGAGGTACCGGCCCGTGCACATCGACTCAACTGGCGACCGCCACGGGCTCAGACGAGACTTGTCGACGCGTTCCGGCTCAGCTTCACCGTGGTCCTCGGGCGTCTGTCGACGTCAGGACCACCCATACAGGTCGCGGGTTTGAGGTCGCAAGAGCCAAGATGGTGGCGTTTGGACATCCCAACCAACACACGAGACAGCCTGTAGGCGATGGCGGGACGGCGCAGTGTTTGTGGCACTCGGCAGTAGGCACCCGCGGCACGGCCCCGCTGTCAGCTCTCCCGGGCTGCGGAACCGGCCCCAGAAGGGGACGGTCCGGGCGAGTGTGGCAGCTCCTGCGCTAGTATGGGCACCCTCTATAACAACACTACTGACCCTGGTCATTAGAGCTGCCAGGGATAGCGTCAGGAGCTGGTAGGAGTCAAAACCCCTCATATTTGAGACATCGTGGCCCATATACTCGCACAACGAGCCGTGTGTGCGAGCACGAAAGAACTACGCGGCACAGCCACGGGCGTCCGGGTCAAGTCCCGGGTCCGCTTTCGATTGGGTAGTCAGGGGAGATGGCCATAGTAGCTGGACGGTGAGCGTGGCAGCGACGGTGCTGGTCACATGTGTGTATACAGGTCTCGGAGAAACTTGTAGGCGGCGTATATCGCCACAGCACGCGTCACAGACGGGAGACTGTGCGGACCACTCCTCAACAGGCGTCGCCATCGATGCATCGGCGCGGCGCGGCGTATTGTGGCAGGTAAAAGTAACGGAAAGCTAAAGGTAACAAAAGCACTCACGGGTACGGGACAAAACAAGAAATTTACTTTCCGAAAAAGACCAAATCGCACCATGGCGGCGGCAGTCCAGAGACGTAGGCTGACAGCGCTGCGGGCCCCGTTCCGGAAGCGAGCCCGGCCACAAGCCGTGGCTCGAGATCGCTTACGCTCCGAGCCACCGCTGCACGCACGCTAGACTAGACTGCCACGGTTCTCCCAAGTCCCCACACCAGGTACCGCCCACCCCCCCTCACGCACAGTCAGTGTTCAGCGCTCACTCAAGGATTGGCCCAATGCCGTCCAGCGACCGGCGGTACCGGACCAAGGCCCGCGCATGCAGGGATGGTCGGGTGATCGATCTGCAAATTACATGCGTGCCTTGCTTGGTTTTGCTCGCGTTGCACCACGGTATTCAGGAGCGGGCCATCTCGGTCGCCTCCGGGGTACCGCCGGCCTTGGCCGCCTTGAGCTCGCTATAGATGAGGCAGTAGGTGCAGCTGCCGCAACACATGACCTGGAGGCACACGTTGTCGCACGGGCCTGGGCTGACAGCGTTCTTGTCGAGCTTGACGGCCGCAGCCTTGAGAATATTGACGTCATAGTTGCACCAGCACTTGTCCAGGCATGCCACCGGCGCGATGCAGGGGCCGCAGCAGTAGGGAATGTAGGAGCAGTAGTTTTGGATCTGCGAGCCGAAGCCGAGGAAGCTGGGCGCCGTCTCCTTAGACTGTCCGACCGTCACGTCGGCGCCAATCATGTCGCCCATCTCGCATTTAGCGCACGGAAGGCAGCACGACACGTAGAGGCAGCCGCCCATGTCGTCAAAGCAGCCGAAGACGCTTCCCCACTCCTCGGTGCCCTGGTCGACGGTGAGAGTGATCGCTTAGCGTGACGGTACGAGAAGTGTGGCCGCGCCGCTTAGCGCGAGCATGCTAAGGAGCGAGCGTGAAGCGATGGGGAGGTGCGACAGGCGCACCGTTCCCGCCGACGAGGTGTGCTTCATCTGGTTCTGCACGTTGACCGCCGCTGCCGGCGCATCGACCTTGAGTGGCATGCCGCCCGAATAGCCCGGCGGCACGGTGAGGAGCATCATTTGGCCCCCGACTTCGGCTTGGAATTGCTGACCCTCGCCGAGACCGTCAGGAATCTGGATGCTGTACGTGCCCCGATACGGCACCCCGTGCTTATCTACGGGCACCACGTTGGCCTCTGGCCTTTCGGCGTAGGCCTCTAGCGCGTTCGCGTCGATCGCGCATCGCAATGTCGATGTTACGTGCCGCGTCCATCCCTCCCGCTTCCACTCCTCCCTAACTTCTCGCTGTTTTTCTGGGTCGAGCATGTCGTCCCGCGCTCTCTCGAGCCGGCGGTGTGCCTCCCTCCACCGTGCCCCGTCGCACCCTGGCCTGCCCAGCCTCTTGTACGCCTCGTCATAAAGCGTCCCCACCGCCCCGGGCTCGCCCATCGTGTGCCTATCCCGCGTGAGCATCGGTCCGTCGGCCGGCGTGCACAGCACTCCTAGCTGGCTCCCCGCTCGTAGGATTCTATCCGCCTCGTGTATGTCGTCGCAACGCATCACCCTCCCTCTCCCCGAGTCGGGTCGGGCCCTTCTCCTGGGGGTCATGAACACGTCTCCGCCAGCGGCGGCAGCGGCGGCAAGCAGCCCCAGCAAGGGCAGCGACATAGTCCGAAACGTAAACTGAGAATTGCGGCTCACCAAGATGCGACAGGAGGGCTAAAATTCTGTACTATAACAAATTGTCGTGAGCACCCGGCCGATGAGACGAACCACTTCATTCAGAATCTCCCCGCAGCGCGAAGCCTCTCCTGGGACTCCGCCACCCTCTCCTTCCTGGCAGCCGCCGCCTTAGCCGCAGCCTTCGCTCCTTGGCTTTGGCCGCCGCCTCCTGCTTCGCCGCCGCGGCCTTCGCCGCCGCTTCTTCCTTGGCCGGCCTCTGTCCGAGGACGACTTTTCTGCTGCCTGCAAAATAGAATCTTGCAACAAAACTCCCTCGCACAACACTGGGCACGGGACTGGCGCGCACTGGCACGAACACAGTGTTGTGCAAAATAGAAAATGACACGCGCAAATTCCCAACCGACCTTTCCCTATCATTGAAAGTAGCAACCGGGTCGCGCTACACGCTCTCCGAATGGGATTTTCTGCCCTGCCCCTGTCGCAGCCCCGGCTGCCTCCCGGAGGCCCGCCCGGCCATGCAATCCGCCGCCGGACCGCCCGGCGGGTCCAACCCGAAGCGGGCGACCGGCCGTTCGCACCGCTCGGCCGACGGGGCGAGCCCCGCGGCCCTCGATCGCTCGCCCCGGAAGTGGCCCGACCGGCCCACGCGCACGGCCTGGCCTCTACCGCCACTTTCGGCGGCGCAATTTGCGCCTTCATCGCTCTCTGGATCGTCCTGGCACCCATCGGACTCCTCCCGACGGTCGGCGGCGCCCACTCCGTGCACTTTGAGTCAGACTCGCTCTTCGGCAGGCACGCTCTTCGGCGAAAAGTCGCCGCCGGCTGTCCACGCCGAGCCAGCCAGTTGCCGGCTCGCACGGCAGCCTCTTCCTCTCGACCAGCCTCAACTTCGACACGGTCATCATTTTGTCGCTGCGTGCTCGTGGCGAGCCGGGCGGCGGTCAAAGTTTGCCCAGACGAGCGCCAGGCGATAGTCCCGTCTCTGTTCGCCCTGTGCATGTCAGGCCAGGCTGCAGCGGGGCACGACCATCGTGCTGCCCTGTTGCAGCCTGACGTTTCCCACTGTGCACAGCCGCCAGAGCACCACCACCGCCCGGCATCGTGTCACGGCGAGCTCCTTCTGCACCCGTTCGCGAGGCTCTTGCGCTGGCACACTTCGGCCTTCCGCTGCTCGCGTTCGGCGAGCTCTTCTCCGCACTCCTGCCACGGTGCCGTCGCCACACACCTTCTGGCCGGCCTGAGCCACGCGGACTCGACCTCTCTCTCTCTCTCTGGTGCACGCCACGGGCCGCGGAGGCAGCGTTGCTGGCACAGAGCACAGTCGAGCTGGAGTATCCGCTTCTTGATGCTTCTGCGGTCAAGCTTGACCTTATGTGACATGATATGCCACAAGAATGCATGCTCTCACCCCTCAAAGTGTCGAATTTTTGTTTAGTACTGGTGACCCGACACCGGTGGCCCCGGGTGCGGCCCGATAGTACCGTGCCGATAGTACCGTTGTGCCTTTCTTCTCAAACGAACGCACTTCGAGGTTCGACAATCGCTAAAAGATGCTTATGGGGCACCGCTGCGACTCCCTTGGAGATGCCTGAGGCCACCCCAACCAGTCCCCAGGCGAAGCCTTACGTGGACGAATTCAAACCCTTTTCCTGGCTCACAAGCTAAAGATGTTCACGGGCCCCCACACACGGAGCTCGGAGGTCTCCGCGTACTCTTTAGCTGTACTAGTCTAGGCAGGGGTTGGACGAATTCAATCCTCTTTTTGTTTTTAGGTGTATTGTTGGCAAATCAAGACACAGAGCTCACACAGAATCACAGCGGGAGGAAAGCGGCGAGTCGCAATTCCCTACTTTTTGTTCGTCTACCCATATTAGCAACTTCGTGCTCATGTCAACGCCACACCAGCGCTAGCCCATTGATTCAACCCCGCCCCCATTGGGGGCGGGGCCCTTCAAGGGCCCAACTCTAGTCCTTTGAGAAAGGATCGTCCCAACCAACCAACTTGATTGAGGAGTGTGCAAGGTAACACGCCTTCCCCGCCAGCGGCGCCGCCACCGCCATACTGCCTCTGCGCTCGCACACAGCCGCCACTCCACTGTGTGTCCACCCTGTCTCCCTTCTCTCCCACAACCAAGCAGCCACACCCGAAGCTGTCGCCAGACGCCGCCGCCTCCTGCACATCTGGTACAGCACAGGGGGGCAGTCCGAGTAAGGTGACGCATCGCTCACTCGTGTGGCCGTACTCTCTCCCAACTTCCTCTCTCTTTCGACTGCTTCGAAAACAACCACCACCCTCACGCATGCGTCCCTCTCTGAGACTGACAGCGCACCGCAAAGGTTCAGACCGGCCTTTCCTGCATGTCAGGTAGGATAGACGCGCGGCGCACGCGTACCGCACAGCAGCTGACGCCGATGCTCGCGAACAGGACTCATGATGACCTTCGTGACCCGCGTCCTGCTGATCGCAGTCTGCAACGAGGTGACCCACGCGAAAACGCTCCACCCGGATTCGCCCGGCATCACCACCATCTCCAAGGCCTTCCGCGAGCAAAACGCCACCGACTTGCTCGCCAGCCCACGATATGACGGCTGCCCGCTTGGCTCTTGCGAATGCAGGTTGTGGTCCGATGGATATTACTGCTTGTGTGCGGACAATTGCGACTTCCTTGCGTGCGATGTTTACACCTATGATGGAGTCGAGATCACGTGCTCTTCGGGGTCGAGCTCCGGAACCTGCTCTTCCGGATGCTACTCAAGCTGGCCAGGCGACGGAGAGTGCGACGCCGTCTGTAACAACGCGGCTTGCAATTACGATGGAGGAGACTGCAGCGGAACCTGCTCCACGGGATGCTACTCAAACTGGCCAGGCGACGGAGAGTGCGATGCCGTCTGTAACAACGCGGCTTGCAATTACGATGGAGGAGACTGCAGCGGTGGCGGTGGCGGCGGTGGCGGTGGCGGTGGCGGCGGCGGCGGCGGTGGCGGTGGCGGTGGCGACTCCTCCTGCTTCGCCAAGGAGTCCACGACTGTGTGCCGCTTCGCGTCGCCAGAGGCCGAGTGCCAGGACGAGCTCATGGCCAACCTGGCCGTCGGTGACTACGTCCTCGGGCGCGACGGAATGACGCGAGTGATCGCCGTCCAGCACAAGGCCAACGACATCATCTCCGAGATGCTCACCTTCCACACCGGCGGCCGCGCCGTCTCGATGACGGCCGATCACGGCGTTTTTGTCGACGGCAAGCTCGTTGCTGCCGGCGAGGCCAAGGTGGGTTCGACCCTGTCCACGGGCACCATCCAGCGCATCACCAAGAGCAAGGCGCGCATCATCAACGCCGTCACGGCCGATGGGACAGTTATCGCCGATGGCGTCCTCGCCGCCTCCAACCCAGCGTGGCTCGCCGCGCTCACCATCGACGCGCCTTGGACGCGAGCTGTCGCCAACGCCCTTGTCCTCGCCGCCGGCGACGTCGACTCGATCGGAGAGGGCGCCGTGGCCGTCCTCGGAGAGGTGGCCGCCAGCCTCGCCGTCGCGGCGTTCATGGCCAAGGCGGGCAAGTGAGCCGCTGTCGCAACGCGAGCACAACCAAGCAAGCAGCTCCTCGAGAGCAGGCTTCCAGGTGGGGATGCTGATGCTGACTTCTCGCCTCCATCTCCCGATTTGCTCGTTGGGGTTGTCAACGGGCCGGCCCGCCGCCACCACCGCAGGTGGGCTTGCATGGAACTTACCGACACCGACACATCCCGATGCTGCCGTCGGTGCCATCCGGGGGGAGCGCTGACTTGCCCCCAACCATAGCCGCCTTTTGTTGAATTGTTCGCCGCCCCGCCGCCCCGCTTGCCGCTAGCCTTCGGATTCGATCCCTCATGTCTCGAACATGGACATGACCCCCCTGGGGCGCGCGATCTGCGGGATGGCCTTCTCTCTCCTAATTGTGCATTATTCTCGTTGTGGGAGCACTGTGGACTACACGTTATTCTTTGATCTTGTGTATTAACACACACATTATTAATTATTTAACCCAAAAGCAGCACGTGTGGTTTCTTCACGGCCAATTTTCGATTTGAGCGCATGCAGCCCCCACAGCAGCGCGTTCCACAAAGTCCACACACACCCAGTCACACCGACGCGCACAGGTTGAGAGCCACAGACCACAGTCCACATGGATGACGGTGGGTTGACGGCGGGACGCCGCAGCGCGGACCGGGAGACTGTCACACCGCCGCCCCGAAACCCCGCGCGCACATCCGGCCACACATGATTATGACCGACCGTCGAGGTGCTCAGGGGCGCCGGCTGCGCGCGGCCAAAAGCACAGAGGGCTGCACCCGCCATGCACGGCGCGCCCCCTCGGCAGCGGCACAAACGGTGAGGACGGAGTTCGACAATCACGGTGAGGCCCTGGACTATGCGTTGCAGTGGCGCGACGCTCCCCGAGACGCGAGATCGAGCCCGACCAGCGCCATGCGCCACGTGGCTGTCGGCGAGTCCAGCGCGAGGCTCTCGCCATCGACGGCCCACCTGGTAGAGGAGCTGCTTCGTGCACGGGTGTGTCGTCGCCGCGCGCAGCTCCCCCATCGTGCGCTTGCTCCCGGCCGCTCTCGACTTGTCGCGCGCCGCCTGCTGCGCCTCCTCGCCCGCGCCCGACGCCGCGCTGGCCAGCTGCGCTGCGCGCCCCTCCGCCTCCCCGACCATCGCCGCCATCTGGTGCATGCCGCCGCCGCCACCGTCGAACAACCCATCACGTGCTTATTCACACGAAACCAGTAGTGCTTGTCGTCCGCCGGCATCGCCGGCCACACCTCGCGCCAGACGTGGTTCACCATGTTGTCGAGCATCACCTGCACGGTGCCTGCCCCCCGGCCGGCGCGCACAACAGCCTCCTCCCCTCGCGCCGAAGCCTGCTCAGCAGCGAGCCAGCGGCTGGCCTTCGACTCACGATTTCGCGTCAACGCCAGCCACTCGCCGAACCCGATCGTCCACCGAACGGTCGGGTGGAGGCCTCGAGCCGTCCGCATCATCGGCACAACCTGCCCCCTCTCCGCCAGCTCGCTCAAGTACTCGCGCAGACGGCGGCGCACCTCGCGCAGCGCCCTCGAGTGCTTAGCGCCGTGCGGCAGCAGCATTGGCACGTCGTCGGGCAGCATCGCCTCGCGCTGCTCGTCCTCGTTTCGCCGAGCAGCGCGAAGCAGCTCCATGGCGGCGCAGCGCCGCACCCTCCTCCGCCCCGGCCAGTTGAGGGCCGCAGGGGCGGAGCTCGCCTCGCCGACCGCCTCCTCCCGGCCAACATACCCGCCGAGTGCCGCCTACGTGGCGCCGGCGTCGCCGCTGGCCATCCCGGCTGCCGCCGGGCTCTCGTCGCCAGCCCTCGTGCTGCGCCGCTCCCTTGGCTGTGTCGGAGCGGGCTCGCAGGTCAGCAGCGCGTCCCCAGCCTCGTCGCCGTCCCCCTCGACGTCGCTCCCCTTGTCGCTGGTGGCGACCGCGCTGCCGCTGTCGGTCGCGCTGGCCGGCAGCGCGTCCGCAGCCTCGTCGCTGCCCTCGCCGTCGCTGTCCTCGCCGCTGGTGGGGGCCGCGCCGCCGGCGCCGAGCGTCACCCGCCTCCACGTCTCTTCCTCTAAGTTGAGCCGGAAATCCTGGTCGGGGTAGCCGTCGTACTCGACCGCGTGCACGAGCCGGCCGTCCGAACCCTCCTCCCGCCCCGTGATGGTGCCCGGCCACCACCTCTGCTCGCCCAGGATCTCCACGTGCGTGCCAGTCTCGACGACAGCGTGCCCGGCGATCCTCGCCGCCGCGTCCACGCGCAGCCGTTATCGCCGCGCCGTCTTAGACTCCGCGGCCTGCGGCAGGACGTAGTTCGGGCCGTACTCCGCGACGTTCGCGAGGGCCTCGGCCGCGCTCACCGTCTCGACCGCGGCCTCGACCAGTGGAGGGGGGGGCTCGACCCGTCGTTCGACCCGTCGTTCCGTGACCTCCCGCGCCAGCCGCTCGCCAGCGAGGGGCTCCTGATGCGCCGCCCGTCGGTCGACGCCCTCGCCCTGCGCTCAGCCAACGACGCCGTCGCTGTCCTCGCTAACGTGACCGTGGTTCGAGGCCGCCCATCCTCCATTGATGCCGTCCAACACCAAAGTCGTTCCCCCTCCAACACCAAAGTCGTCCCCCCCCCCCGTCCCCCTCGGACACGTCCCTCCCTGTCCTCTCCACTGGTTCCTCTACTTATATACATAAATTCGTGCCGTCCGCGGCGAGCCGAGCCAGGCCACGGCGCTCGGCCTCCTGAGAGAAGACCATCCCGGACGGCAGTGACAATTTACCCGACATCAATCGTCGACGGCAAGCTCGAGAACTGCGCCTCCAAAGTCGCCCAGATTCGCCTCTCGCGGCGCGCTGAGTTAGTATCGCCGGTGCGCCAGCCAGCTCTGCTCCACAGCAGGGCATGCCTGACTGGCTCCTGCTAGCCGTGCGTCCTGGTGGCATCCATTGCCAGCTCAGGTAGCCTCAGGAGGTCGCCTCGCGCACGACTCGGCGCCGCACAGCACCGCTCCGCGTTACTACCGAGTTAGTATCGTCGACCCACAGTGACTGCTCTTCTGTAGGTGGAGCCGACAAACGCCGGCCGGGTCGGCCCCGCCGCCCCCATCGCCGCCGCCGGGGCGGCGGCGGCCTCGGCGGACCATCCGGCGCGCCGCGCGCCCGACGGGGAGGCGTTCACCACTCCTGGATCCTCACCCTGCCACGCCTTCGTGCAGACGCCGTGGCACCCACCTCAGGCGCCGCTCGGACTCGGTTGACGGGAGCCCAAGTGCTTGGCTCGTGCCCAGCCGACCGGCAGGCGATGCCCACTCGCTGCTAAGCTAATCTCGGGCTGTCTTGCGGCGGTGTGGTGCCGTGAAGGGATACGAGCCACGGTGCTGGTGTGACTCTGTTCACGTTCGCAAAGACCAGGCGAGACCAGCGTCAACTGTCCATGACGCCCGGCCTGCTAGCGCACACTGTCTCCTTCCTCTCATGCGATTTTGCCGTCGCCTTCCTCCCGGCCTCGTACTTTCGCTGCCGCTTCCGCTCATCAGACGGCGAGCGGCTCGCGATCACTGCACCTTTGTGCGTTGCGGTGGGTGCTTTCGCTCTGTCCCTCTTCGCCGACCATTGCGGGACGTGGTTGCGACTGCTGGCCGTGGCCGCGGCGCAGGCCGCGAGCATCGCCATCCTCTGGCCCTGGCGCTGGCGACTGGTCGGCGGCTTGCTCGGCCTTTCGGCGGCGGCTCTGACCAAAGCACACGAGAGTGAGCACACGCTCGCGGGCGGATGCGCGCTCGCAGTCGCGGCTGCAGCTATCGCCGCTGCCCCAGCCGCAGCTTCGCTCGCTGCCATGGCCCTCGAGCGCCCGGCTGCCGCTTCGGCGAGCATTGCTGCCGTCGCGGTCTGTGCGTCGCACGGCAGCGCTGTCTGGCGGGCCGTGCGCCACTTGCTCCTCGTCGAGGAGGTCGGCCTCGCCCACGCGTCCGCGCGCCGCGTCTTGGGTGACCTCGAGACGCATTTTTGTCCGAGCCTTCTGTGCACCTTCCAGGACCTTCTAGGAGCCTCCTTCAGGCGCCGACAGCCTCGAGACACACCTCTCGACGCTCGCGCTCACCACGCTGCACTGCCAGCTCGCCCTCGGCCAGCTGGGCGTGACGTACGTCAAGGCGGCGCAGCAGCGGAAGAACCGGCGGCCTCGTTCGCGAGGCTGCTTGTGAGTATCAGTCTGCGATTCTGATCACTTTTTGTGCGACGTGATAGGCTGCTCCTCGCCGGCGGAGGTGCAGCGGGCGGCCCGCCGCAGCTATCCGCAGCTGACTTCGGAAGGCACGCCCTCCGCTTCATGGCCGTGGTCGGGCTCCCCTACCTGGCGCAGCGGACCGCCGTGGAGTCCATCAACGCGCACCTCGAGCGCACCTTTCTCCACCGGCTCACGTACTCTCTCTCAGTCCAGCTCGTGCTCGCGGACGGAGAGAGCCCTCGCCGCCACGGCCCTCTGGAACCCTCTAGGAACTCTCTAGGAACCTTCTAGGAACCTTCTAGGAGAGAGCCTCGCCGCCACGGCCCGCTCCGACCTGACGCTGGACGCGCACGCGGACGCCCTCAAGGAGAGCGTGCACACCATCTTCTCTCTCGCCGAGCGGAAGCTCTTCTCCCTCCCAAAGATGGCGCTACTCCCCTCGGTCCTCCTCCGCCACCCGCGCCTCGCCCTCGCCGGGCTTCCGATCATCCTCGGCCTCGACGCCGCCAAGTCGGCGCTCCACGCGGCGCTGACCGACGCCTTCGAGGAGCACCGCAAGGCGGAGAAGCGCGCCGACTCGCGCTTGGCGCGCGTGGTCGCCTACGACCTCGCGCAGGCGAGTCACTTGCTTGAGAGGACGCCACGACGACCCGATCACTGGAGAGGAGTCCGACAGGACGCCGAGATGACCCGCGAAGACTCCGAGACGCCTCGTCGCCTACGCCTTTGCGGCAGGCGGCGCAGCTGACGGCGGCCGGCTCGCTCGAGCTCGCGCGCGAGCGGTGGGGCGAGGTAGCGCTGCAGGCGCAGGCGGAGGAGCGGTGCAAGCACGTGATCAACGCGCTGCGCAACTGGATCGGCTGGCTCTACTGGCAGGACGTCCTTCACCCGTCGATTGAGGTTGGCATCGCCTGGCTGCTCGAGGTGTGAACCCCGCCCCCCTGGCGTCTCTGGGACGATCGGCTCATCTCGGGCCATCTCGGCCCTGATCCGTTCCAGGCGGGCCACGTCGGAGTCTCTGAGATCTGGCTCTACTCGCGCGTAATCGAGGACTCGATCGACACGCTGCTCACGCGCTCTCGTGCAGAGGCAGCCCGCCTCCGCTCGCCGCAGCTCTCCGGGTACCCTCTAGGAACCTTCTGGGAACCTTCCCGCAGGCGCAGCTCGCTTCCGTCCGCCGCAACTCGGTCGAGCTCGTCGCGCTGCACGCGGCGGTCGCCGAGGCGCAGGCGGCAGCTCGAGTCCGCTGCAGCTTCGGTGACGAGCACGGCGGCGACACTTCAGCGACCGTGCGCGTGCGGTGCGAGTTCACGCGCGGCGCTTCTCGCGTGGTCGTCGGCAGCGGCGGGGAGAGCGTCGAGCTCCGCCCGTCGGTCTACGCGCTGTTTGGCCCAAACGGGAGCGGCAAGAGCAGCCTCCTCGCACTCCTCTCCTCGTGCGCTCGCGGCGGGGCCCTGCCGGCCGGGCTGGCGCTGGCCGGCGAGTGCGACGTGCAGCTGCGCCTCTCCGCCGACGACATCGTCGAGGAGTGTAGTACGTCCGAGAGTGCCCCAGGAGCAGCCCGAGAGCGACCCGAGAGCGTCCGTCGAGCGACCCTCAGGTGATCCAGACACTTCCTAGACACTTCCTAGACACTTCCTCGCTCCTCAGGTGACGCAGCGGCTCTACTGCCCGCTCTCCTGCCAGCCCGTCCGCTGGCTCGCCCCCTCCGCCCACCGCAACACCTCGCTGGCTCCGCTGGCGGCGCGAGCCGCGGCACTGCTCACGGAGCTCCACTTTTGGAGCCGGCGCGACGACGGCGCGGCGGCGGGCGGCGGTACGGAGGGCGGCGAGGGGAGGCGGGAGGAGGAGGAGAGCCTTGCTGCCGAGCTGATGGCGGAGCACGAGGATTACTGCGGCGCCCTCTCGGGCAGAGACGCGGCTCCGAGGCGGTGGTGGTGGTGGAGCCGTCTCGGAGCCGTCTCGAAACCGTCCCGTAGGCGGGCAGCGCGCCAAGCTGGAGCTGGTGCGGTCGGTGCTGCTGCGTCCCGTTTGCCCGAGGCTGCTGCTGCTCGACGAGTTCTTCGCGCCCCTTTCGGCGTGGAGCAAGGCGCTCGTGGCGGGCAGGCTGCGCGCGGCCTGCCCCGACAGCGTCGTTGTGGTCGTCTACCACCCAGACAGCATGCCCGAGGCGGGCGAGGGAGAGGCGGCCGACGCGCTCTGCGATCTCGCGGGAGGTGCTTTCTTCGACGCGTTCATGGAGGTGCGCGACGGGAAGCTGCTTCCGCCAAAGCCGTGCCAGGCCGCAGCGAGAATCGACAGCGAAGCCCAAGCGAAATAGACACGCTTTGTGTTGGATATTATTGAGGGAATCGATTCAATCTCGACGCGAAGGCCGAAGTCCACACACAAGATCAAGAAAGAGACCCTCGCGCTTTGTTTTTCGTATTGACGATGGATTAATCACCTTTCTTGTCAAACGGCATGGACAAATTTCATGCGGCGACATAGCACATATACTGACAAGACCAGACTGAGGTGTCAGGTAACACAGGACGAGGAGACTGTAGCGTAGCGCAAATTATAGTGTGAACCGGCTGTTTACCCGGCGGCGGCGAGGGCGCCGCCATCCTAACTCAGTGCGGGTGCGCTGTCTGCGCGTGGACGATGCATGTGCGGAAGGCGGCCTCGATCTCCTCCCTGTCGAGGTCGCGCCCGATGAAGACTACCTTGGAGACGCGCGGCTCGCCCTCCACCCACTTGGTGTTGGACTGCTCGAACTGGATCTGCTCGTGCACGCCCTGGAAGATGTACTTTGCGTCGCCCTCGCCCTCGAAGCACAGCACGCCCTTGCTGCGGTAGAGGTCCTCCTTCTTGCGCTGCAGCAGCTGCACCATGAAGCGGTTGAAGAGCTGCGAGTCGAGCGCGTGCTCCGACTGGAGCGCAAACGAGCCGACGCCAGAAATGTCGTGCTTCCGCTTCTTCGCCTTCTGCCCCTCCCTCGCCCCCTCCCTCGCCCCCTCCCTCTCCCCCCCCACCCCCCCCGCGTGCCCGTGCTCGTGCGCCGGCGCGGCGGGCCTCGGTGCATGCCCGTGCTCGTGGGCGGCGGGGGCGTGCGCGTGGTCGGCGGCGGCGGCGGCGGGCGCGGCGTGCTGGTCGTGGCCGTGAGGCGCGTCGTGCTGCGCGTGGCCGTGGGCGGGGAGGGCGCACTGCTCGTCGGTGCACTCCTCCGCAGCAGCGTCCTCCTCGAGGTCGTACTCCGCGATCTCCTCCTGGAAGCGCTCCATCGAGAAGGCGTTCCTACTCACAGAGTGGTGGCCGCGTGGCGCCGGCGGGCTCGAGCCTCTTCCCCGGCGCAGCAGAGAGGGCGCACATGTCCATCAGCTTGTCGACGGGCACGCGCGACTGCTGGCACTCGATCAGCTCGGCGAACGCGTTCACCTCCTGGATGAGCGTCTTGACTGCGCCCAGCTCGCCCTTGTCCACCAAGTCAAGCTTGTTGAGAAGGACCCGGTCGGCGAAGGCGACCTGCTGCACCGCCTCGTTGACCGTCCCCTCGGGCCGCACCTGGCAGGAAAGGTCCAGGAAAGGTCTAGGAAAGGTCTAGGAAAGGTCCCCTCGGGCCGCACCTGGCAGCGGCTCGTGCCCGGTGAGGCGGAGGCACAGAGGCGGAGGCACAGGGGTAGAGGAAGAGGTGGGGTCGTGGCACCTCGGGCCGCTGCAGCCGAGTCGGTTTATCTCGGCTGTCTCTCGGCTGTCTCGGCTGTGTCTCGGCTGCGTCTCGCCTCGTTGATGTGGGCGGCGATGTGCTTGCAGTCGACCAGGCAGAGCACGCCGTCGATCCGGTAGTTGTTGCTGATGGTCCAGTTCTGCGTGAATGTCGCGAGGATGGGCGCGGGGTCGGCGAGGCCGGTCGTCTCGAGGAGGACGAGGTCGAAGGAGTCCTTGCGGTCCTTGAGCTGCGTGAGGGCGCGCACCAGGTCGCCTCGGACCGTGCAGCAGGCGCAGCCGTTGTCCATCGAGATGACCTCTTCCGCCGAGGAGAGGTTCTCCTTGACGAGGGCCTGCGAACGGCAGAGCGGCGAGCGAGGTCGGGCGAGGGCTTTTGGGCGAGGGCTTGGGCGAGGTCGGGCGAGGGCTTTTGGGCGAGGGCTTGGGCGAGGGCTTGGGTTGGGCGAGGGGCTTGGGCGAGCGAGGTCACGTGCGGGGAGGGGAGAGAGGCGCCGCTCCCACCGCGCCGCCCTCCGCTCCCACGATCTCCGCTCCCCCCAGCCCGGCTGCCTCCTCCTCCCCTGGGCTGCCCTCCTCCTCCCCTCTCTCTGCCCGCGCGCCTCGTCGATGTTGACGGCGCCAAACTCGTTTTCGATGACGCAGATCCGCTTGCCGTGCTGCTCGCGGAGGATGTAGTTGACGAGGGTGGTCTTGCCGGAGCCGAGGAAGCCAGTCACGACGGTGACGGCCAGCTTCTCCGAGTCCGCCTTCTCATACTCCTCCTCCTCCTCAAACGCCCCGGCGCCCGAGCCGTCTGCAAGCGCAGACACGGGCGCCGCGCGGATGACGCGGTCCTGTGGGAGGGGAAGGAGGCGTCGGGGTGCGGGGGTCCGGGCCTGACACCGATACCCATTCCCACGCCGGTCAGCATCCCGTGGCGGCGATATATCACAGCCAGGGCGCGGGTGGGCGCACCTCGTCGGCGGGAGCAAAGATGAGGCGGCCGTCATCGAGCCGGATCTGGTAGGGCGCGCACTGGTTGGCAGGGAAGGTGGACTGCGTGTAAAACAGCTTGACCACCGTCCCTGCCGTCCACCGGCCGCAGTTGCACTCGACGCGGTCGCCGACCTGCGGAAGGAGGGCCGACGTGCGGCGTCAGAGACGCAGCGCGAGCCAGGGAGCGAGCGGCGCGTGGACGAGTGATGCAGTGGCCGCACGCCTTGAATCGAAGCTGGTAGGTCTCAACCTGGTCGAGTTGCAGCATCGCGGCGTGAAGCTTCTGTCTGCTTTTGGCCTTGCTCTCGTCGTCGTCGGACCACAAAGAAATACTCAGTACTTGGTCAGCTGACCGGTCCTGGATGTGAGGTAATGACCGCACTCCAAGTGCTCCAAGTGCAGCTGCCCCTGTGGTCCGGGAGAAGAGGAGACAAGGACACGGGGGGGCGGCGAGGGGGGGGCAGCCGTCGCAACAGGCGAGCGCACCCCGAGCCGGGGCGGCACCGACCGGTGGATCGGCCGGCCCCGACGCGGATCTTGCCAGGAAGGGCACGAGGCAGCCCGATGAGGTTCGTGCCGGCGGCAGACAGAGGACAGAGCGAGAAGACGGGAGGAGGCAATTCGAGAGGCCGCGATGGATCGGGCGGCCGCGGCGGCGGGCGAGAAGGCGGTCCCTAGGGCGGTCCTGGCGGAGCTTAGGGCGATCGGTCTGTCGCTCGCGGTCAGCACCGGCGTTCTCAGGCCGGTGCAGGCACGGGAGGTGCGGGGCCTAGCTAAACGACTGGTTGGCTCGACGGACCTTCTTGGACAGGTTTTCCGGTGGGAGGGGGAGGACTACCTCGTCAACGACATCGCACCGGGGCCGACACAGTCGGGGGGGCAAGCGATGAAGGCGTACGCCTGCTGTGTGAAGAGGCGGGTGGCATCGGCGGGCCCGCTGTCTGAACACAACTCGGCCTTTGATATCCGGTCGGTGCGGGCCCGAATCGAGGAGGACCGGTCGAGGGGGGAGGCGACGCGGCTACTGGGCAGTCTACGACCCGTCGCGGAGCGACGGGAAGGAGAGGCGGGGCCGTCGGCGAATCCGGGTCCTGCCCCCCCCCCCTCCCGAGGGGAAACGAGAGCTAGGCCCCCCCCCACGAGCGGGGTGGACGGCCGACGCGTGGAACCACGGCTGGAACGGCCGCAGGGGCAGGGGGCATCCCCCGAGGCCCCGCCTCAGGAGTTGCGGCGGCCGGCGCCGCCACCAGGCCCGCCCCCGCCACCACCGCCTCCGCCCCCGCCGCTGGAGCGACCGCTGGGTCGAGGAGCCGCCCCTGAGGTTCCACACCAGGCGGTGCGGCCGCCAATGCCATCGTTTCCGCCACCCACACTGCCACTTCCGCCCCCGCCACTGGAACGGCTGCAGGGTCGTGGGACCGCCCCAGCGGCTCCACACCAGGCGTTTGGGCCGCGAGGGCCGCCACCGTACCCGCCGCCCCTGCCACCGCCTCCACCCCCGCCGCCGGCGGGGCCGCCGCCGTATGGACCCGCTCGGAATAACCTGGGGGGTCCGGAACCGCCCCGCCGGAGGCTGGAGCACCCGGGAGGAGGAGCGGGGGGAGGGGAGTTGCCGCAATACGATAACGGACCCGCCGGCGAGCCGGAGGGCCGAGGCCGGAGGGCCCCGGGGGGGGCTTGGGGTCAGCTGTCGGAGGAGGCGAGAGATGAGCTGACGCGGCCTATGCGAGTAGAGTCGGGACGTACGAGCTCACCGGGGGGAGACCCGTCGCGGTGGCAGCCGGGTCACCGTGATCTCCGACAGGGAGGGCCGCGCCTCCCCGAGCCTGAGGAGGAGCCGGCGGAGGGGGGGGGCGAGCCGAGGACAATAGAGAGGCCGCGGGTGCGGGCACGACTCGCCGACCAGGGAGAGCGGGCTCGACCCCCCGGGGGTGGAAGTGGGTGTGACCCAATGCCACCGTCCTCGCCCGGGGCGACCCCGGCCGGGCCGTCGACGCTCTCGGAGGCTGCGGTACCAGCCGGCGAAGCGGAGTCGAGGCCACAGCCGAAGAAGAGGCATCAGAAACGACTGCAGAGGCAGTCTGGTAACGCCCGGAAGGCGGAAGGCGAGCAAGGGGCCGGGACGAGCCGAGGGCTCGCCCCGACAGGCGAAGGAAGGGACTCTGGGACCGGAGTCGGGCGGGCGCATATGAGGCGTATCCGTGTACGTACGTGGAGTACAGTGTTGTGTGTCCGTTAGCTCCGAGTAGAGGGGGCGTTCTGCAGAGTTAAGGGGAAACCCGGTACACGGAACTAACCCTCGGAGACCCGTGTTTACTTTACGGCCCTTTCCCTGCGAACGCGCACCCCCGGGGCTAGGGCTCTCTTGCCCGTAACCCGATCCCGATCATCCGGCCCGCTGGGTGCGCTTCTTAGCTCCCCGGCCCTGGAAGCTGGATGTGAGGCTGCCAACTGCGGCTAGTTCCAATTCACTCTGACACGCTAATCTTGAAAACGCGTCCAACGGAGCTCCGTGTTGCTCCCAGCGCCCTCCCCCGAGCTTCCTGCGGCCATGGCCGGTGCTACTAGTATGGGGGGCTACCTGGCTACCGCGAGCGCGACCCAACTCGTCGACATCGTCCGATGATGGTGCCGCAAAGTCAGCCTCCGGAGGCTATCGTGGGGTCGAGCCGGCAGTAGCCGCGACATGTGGTTCCACCACCCCTCGTAGGCTTTGCCTCTTACCGCCACCGTTCCCAGGCTGCCTAATGGGATGGAAAGGGAGGCTGGGCGAGCGTATAGAAGCGTGCTCGACCTCGTCGTGGCAACCTGTACGGCAGCGCTGGTAGGCGCGATGAGCGTCGTGCCACTTGACCCAAGACGGGTCGCAGGCGTCGTACCGAGCGCGTCGAGACCGTGTCCTGATGTGATCTGCACGGGTGAGTCACGTCGGCGTCAAAGGAGCGACGTGCGACCTGTCAGAGCTTGATCTCCGATCTCAGCGGCGTCGAGTCGTCTCCGGCGCGCGACAAAGGTACATCCCCAGGACGCGCAGAGGCAGCTGCGACCCAGCGGAGTGGACGGTAACGCACCGCGCCACCTGCTGTGCGTTACCGTCCACTCGGCGGGGTCGCAGCTGCCTCTGGAAGGCACCGAGATGTACCTTTGTCGCGCAATGGTCAAAATCAAGGTTTTGTAACGCGAGCTGTGCCACAGTGAAATGGAACTAGCCTGCACTTTCTCCAAGTGCTCCAAGATCCGGCCCGCTGGGTGCGCTTCTCTCCGGCTGACCCTCTTGCACCGCCCCACCACTTCACGCCGTCCCAAATGTATGCATCGTAGTACAAGCGACATCCTTCTGGCCGTAGGTGCGTCGAGCTCTGGGTTCCGGCTCCTACCCGGATAGGGGGTCTGTCGGCACTCCCAGGCCTGCAGCCACCACACAACGCACAGAACACACACCACACGCACTGTCACTGACACACAACTCACAAGCACACTCATCACACACGCAAACAGCGCAGGTGTGCCCAGGGAAACGGTGAACAATGCGCACACATGACATCACACACGCCGAGGAGAGCGAGCCGACGGGACACGGGAGCCGATGAGCGATGCGGGAGCGCGCGCATCTCGAATTTAATTTTTATGGCGCAATGGGGCCGCGAGCGCACGCATCGGCTCTCACATTAGCTGCTGCGCGCGCCCGTGATCGGCGGCCTGCTGCCGGCGCCGCCGCCACACCGCCGCCGCCGCCGCCGCCGCCGCCAGAGCGGCGGAGAGAGCGGCCCACGACCGCCGCGCCGCCGCCGGCCCCGCGCCGAGGGCGGGTGCGTGGGCCGCCTCCGGTTCGCGGGCCAGGTGGCTGCAGAAAGGGGGGAGGCACCACCCGCCCGTCGAGGGCCTGTTCGCAAGAGCGGGGCGTGAGGAGCCGGCAGGGAGAGAGGGGGGGAGGAGGCCGCTCGAGTGCTCACGGCGGCGGAGGGATGTAGTCGGAGGTGCACTCCCACCGGCAGGTATCCCCTACACCACAGGCACAGTCGACAGCGGTGAGAGGAGGAGGGAGGTCGGAGGGGCGAGCTCCACCCTCTGCGAGGCGGTCGCCCGCGAAGAAGGACCCGGCGGTGTGGTAGCAGGACGCGTCCGGCGCGTAGCAGACCGGAAACATCTTGGGGCACTCGCAGGCGGGAGGCGGCTGCGAGGGCGGAGGAAGGTGCGCGGCGTCCACGCAGCAGTGGAAGCCGTCGCAGGCGACCTCCGGGCAGGCGGGGGCGGGGAAGCCGCTCCTGCAGCAGGCGCCTGCTCCCGAGGAGGGCGTGTGAGGGGGGGGGCGGAAGGAAGGGGAGAGAGGAGCGAAGGTACTGCGGGCGCGGAGCCGTGTCGCGCGCCTCCGACACCACACACGTCCTCGCAGACACCGCCTGGTGGGGAGAGAGAGGGGTGGGTGCCGGTGGAATCTCCGTCCGGGCTACATGAGATCTTTGGGAAGTGTCCGGGAAGTGTCTCCCGGAGGCGTCCGGCTCGCGCCTGCCTCGCCGCACTCGTAGAAACAGTCTGCCGGAGGGCTGGGGGGCGGGCGGGGCGAGGGTGGAGGCGAGGGCGGCGGAGGCGAAGGGGGCGGCGGAAATGGCAACGGCGGCGGCGAAGGAGGCGGCGGAGGGGGTGGCGGTGGTGGAGTTGGCGGCGGCTGTGGCGGAGACGGCGGTGGCGAGAGCGGCGGGGAGAGCGGCGGCGGCGGTGACGGCGGCGGAGGCGGAGGCGGCGGCGGAGGCGGCGGAGGCGACGATGGCGGCGGAGGCATCGGGGGTGGAGGCGGCGGGGGCGGCAGCGGCGGCGGCGATGACGGTGGAGGTGGAGGCAGCGGCGGCGGCGGAGAGGGGGGTGGCGGCTGCGGCGACTGAAAGAGATTCGGCAGGTGCGACACGAATTCAAAGACGGCCCGGTTGGCGACTTCGGAGACGGGCTGCTCCTTCCAGAGAGTTGTGACTTCCTCCATCCACGTGGGCGTCCCAACCACCTTTCCAGCCTTTTGCAGTCCCGGCTGCCACTTGTCCGGAACGAGGTCGGCAAAGGAGCGCGGCCTGACGGGCGCGTGGCGACTGGACGCAGATGACATGGTTTGAGCGCGCGCCGCTGCGACGTCCTGTGTTTACCGAGGAGCCGAGGAGGGTACCTGCACCTCGGCCAAAGGACCTTGGCTGCCGCGTTTTCTGGACCAACGCAAGCGCCTTGATGCTTGAAGAAAAGAAAACCCGTGCCAAAATCAAAATTTGTTTTGAGATTCAAAACAAACTCTCTGCAGCTCTCATCTGCACGTGTATTGGGGGCACACATGATCGGTGTCATGATCGGAGTGGGAGTCAGAAGGGTGGTGTGTGTGTGTGTCTGGGAAGCGGGCCAGGCATCACAGGAGAGACGACACAAGTACGCCGAGGTGAGGGACAGAGATCGCGAGGCAAGGCAATCGGGTGGAGGTGGAGGGTCAGGTATGGATGAGGAATGAGGATGATAGCTCGAGTACTGGGACAAGGATGGGAGGTGTGGTCGAGTACGAGGACTGGGGGTAGGATGTGACATGCCACCGACACTGAGTCGTACGCAAAGACCAAAGTCCCAATCTATTCCTACGACCTCCCATGCTTAGAGGGAGCGCCTTGTCCCATCCCACATCGACCCAAGTGTCAAAAGGAGCACATGTCGTCGAGGATGTCGACGGGCTCGGCGCCCTTCTGGTGCACCTGATAGTAGAGCGGCTGGAAGTGGTCTTCCCACGGCTTCGGCATGTTGATCTGGATGCCTCCGATCAGGATCAGCTTGCCGCTGCTGAATTCAGTGTCGACGATGCCGAGGAGCATCTCCTTGACCGCCTCGTAAGCGACGTGGATCAGCGCCTTCATTTGGTCGTCCGAGGATTCGATCTCGCCGAAGCGGCGGTTGATGCGCTGCTTGAGCCACGACTGCTGCATGTCCATCTCGTCAAATTCGCCGGCCTTGCCGCATCTGCAGGCGGCGTAGGCGCCAAGCACCGCCCCGCACGCGGTCGACTCGTGCACCTGCCCCTCGCGCAGGTACTTGCCCAGCTCGCCCTCGTCCGAGATGGCGATGTGCGGGCCAAAGAGGATGATGATGTGGCCGTCATCTGGCACGTGGTGCGAGAAGGCGCCGAAGCCAGTCTTGCCGACAAAGGGCGCGCCGCCGATGCCGCCCATCGGGAAGCACTCGCCCCAGTGGTCCGCCATCAGCGTCGCCAGGTCGCCCTTCTCGTTGTTGATCTCGTCTGGGCAGATCGACTGGCCGTAGATGGTGTTCTCCGGCGTCAGGCCTGAGCGGGCAAATGAAGTGGTTAGGTGGTGGAGAGCGAGACGCCTGCGAGCAGGCCGGGCGGCAGCGCACCGTACAGCTTCTCGAGCACCTTCATGCGAGCAACCACCGCTGGCCCAGGCAGGGCGCCAGGGAAGCAGCGAGAGAGAGCCTGGCCGCACTTGGAGTCTGCGGGCGGCGACCACTGCAGCCAGGAGAAGGCAGAGAGGTCGACGGGCTTGGACTTGCTGAGGCGGGTCTCGACCTCCTCAATCGCGGCGGCCTGCGGCTCAACCTCCTCGCAAACAGGGTATGGAGCAGCCATGTCTGCAGGCGGGAGGGCCGGGCGCGTCTCAGAGCGGGGCGCCGGTGGCGGTGAGGCTTGGACACGAACGAGTAGCCAGTGTGTGGCTGGCGTGGGACGGGCGAGCGCCTTCTCTCGCGGTGCGTGGACTATTACAATCAACGACGATGCGTCTGATCCGTGATCCTTGACGACGTGCGTCCTTGTGACATCACATCATCTTCAGCGACCTTTTTCAGTGTACGTACTCTCTCTCTCAGTGTACGTACTTTTAGCTTACTGGGAGAAACTCTCTCTCTCTCAGTGTATGTGGCTCTTACGTACATTCCCGTAGGAGGACTCTGCTGACAGACAGGGTTTGCGATGAGGAGCGACCCGAAGGGTTTCTTTCTCGGAGGTTAGTGCACCACTATTTTGTTTGGCCACGTCTACCGTATAACGCCGTGGAGCGTGTGGTCCATGCCCTCTCGTCCGCAGGTCGTCCATCTCCCATGATGACAAGATAAAGGGCAAGGACCCTGAGTTGCACAGGGGTTGTGCGCCAAGCCCTCCTGCTCGGCTCCAGCGAGTAGACAAGTGTTACCATCAACAGAGGAGAAGGATATGACCTCAGGGCTGATGTGACCAAGCGCTGGTAGCGTGGTTTTACCTTCACACCCATGCGATGGTCTCACAGTGTGCCGGCAGTCGCCGAGGCCCGAGCAGTGTCGCTCACAGAGTCACACAAGCCGCAGCACAAGTGACTGAGGGCCAGTGAGGGCGAGCCCATCGGCCATCGCTGTGACAGCTGTGGCAGCCGCACAGTGCTCAGTGGGCTGTGCCATCTGTGCAGAGTGTGTGAGCAGCAGAGGAGCTTCACTCCAGGCTTCAGGCGCAAACGAGAGCTGCATCGTGCATGCCACCGAAGGCGCTGTCGAGGGGTTCGCCGAGCGTGGCGCAGGTTGGAGGACACCGTCACCGACGAGCGCGTTGGCTGCCCAGCGACACTACTCAGCGACACACTTTTCAGCGGACTCGCAGGGTTCGCCACTTTCAGAGCGTGGGAACCAGTCATGTAATGTAACTCCGCCTGTCACACGCCTCCGCGCCGTCGTCACTCTCCGCTCGCCGCCACCTCCCCCCCCACCTCCCCCTCTCCGAGCGCGTAGCAGAGGCAGACGTCGTCTCCGAGAACCTCGGTCGAGAGGAGCGTCGCGTGGCGCGCCTGGAAAAGGGGGGAGTCCAGGTTCCGAGAGGGTTTCGAGACGGGTGGTGAGGATGCCTCGCTCGCAACGAGGCAAACGCGCGGCGCGCCTCCGCCATCGTCGAAGCGAGCGGCGCCTTGTTCACTCACCCTTCGCGTGAGTAGACAAATGTGAGTCACTGCCTTGGTCGAAGCGAGCGGCGCCTTGATCCAGCGCTGCGCTGTCGAGCCCAACGCCGTCGCCCCGAGATAGAGCTGCAGCTGCTGCGCGGCGCCTGGAGGGAGGCTCCGGAAAGCGTCAGGCTCTCGACGGACCGCCGCAAGCAGAGCCGCTAGCCAGCTTCGCGGTGCCCTCGGCCAGAAAGCCGCCGATGACGGCGCCGCCGCCCTCGACCATCAGCTGCAGCACTCCTATCGGAAGGCTCCTGGCAAGTGCGTGGGAGCTCCCTCGCCCTCTGCACTCGGCGCCAGCTGCAGCGTGCCCCGCGACCCGAGCTCGAGCAACACCTCCTCGAGGCAGACGCCCCCGCCCCGCCCGGCGCCGACCACGCACACGTCGACGCCCGCATCGGACCAGCGCGAGAGCGCCTAACCTCGGTCGACCTCGGCTCGACCTCGGCTCGACCTCGGGTCCGTCTCGAGGCTCGCCTCGGCCGGAGCGGCGGCGGTGGTGAAGACGAGCGTCGGTGCGGCCGCCGTGTCGAGGAGGGCCCCCCTCGCCTGCGGGAAGGCTCCGAGAAGGCTCGCGGAGGGCTCGGCCGCCCCTTCCGAGAAAGTTGCTGGAAACTTCTCGCCAGCCGGCCGCGCGCGTCCAGCACCACTCGGACCGGCGGCTTCGGCGGTGCAGCCCAGCCGGGAGGGAGGAGCCCCTCGTCCTCGAGCCGCAGCGTGAGACGTGGCTCGTCCACCACCGCAGTCCCCGACCCGACCAGAATCGCCTGCAGGAAGGTTCCAGGAAAGGTCTAGGAAAGGTCCGAGAAGCAGTCCCCGACCCGACCAGGATCGCCTGGGAGGACGCGCGCAGTAGCTGCGCGTGCCTCCTCGCCTACCCGCACAGCCCTCCCCTGTGAGGAGAGCTCCGCACCTTGCCTCCTCGCCTCGGCCCCGCGTGACGCGCTGCTAGCATCGGCCCGCCTCGGCCGGCTACTCTCCTTCGCCTTGGGACCCGTGATCCACTGCGAGGTGCCTGCAGGACATGTCTCGGACAGGTCATGGACGTGTCGTGGACGTGTCCTCCCCGCGTGATCCACCGCGACCGTCCTCGCAGCCGATTGCGCCGTCGAGCGTGCTGGCCACCTTGAGCACCACGAGGTCAGGGTCAGGGTCAAGGTCAGGGTCAGGGTCAGGGGCAAGGGTCAGGGTCAGGGTCAGGGCTGGGGTTAGGGCTGGGGTAAGGGTAGGAGCGTGCTTGCCACCTTGAGGACGACGTACGGAGCCTTGCAGCGGCGCTGGTGGAGGTACGGCCGCAGCGAGGCGAGCACCGCCTTCGCGCCCGTGCCGACCTACACGTCGGCTCAGACGAGGCTCGCGGAAGAGGCACCGTGCTGGCACCGCCCTGCCGCCGCGTGCTGGGCCGTCACGCAGATCCCGTTCTCACGCAGGTGCGCCGCGCCGCCGCCAAAGGCCGGGTCGGGGTCGAGGACCGCGATGTGGATCTCGCGCAGCCCGCTCGCGACGAGCGCCTCGTCGCACGGTGGCGTCGTCTTGCCCGGCCCGCGGTGGCACGGCTCGAGCGTCACGTAGCAGCACGCCTCCGCCATCTGCTCGGACGTGATGCCGCGCGAGCGCGCGGCGGCCAGCGCGGCGGCCTCAGCGTGCGGGCCGCCCTTGCGCTCGTGGAAGCCCTCGGCGAGCACGCCGCCGTCGCCGCCGACGATGACGCAGCCGACCCACGGGTTGGGCGCTGTGCTCAGCCGCCCGCGCTCGGACAGCTGCACCGCGTACTGCATCCAGCCCTCGTGGTCGAGCATCGTGCATTGAGGCGAGCGCGCAGCGGCCGGGCGGAGCGGCTGCCAGCGCGCGTAGAGCGACAGCGCGAAAATGGGCAGCGCCGACAACACCATGGGCAACTGGGGGGGTGATGGCTGCGGCGAGGGCGGCGAGGCGGTCGAGTGTTGGAGGCTCATCAATTTCTTTTTCTGCTTCGTAATCATCTGTCCCGCGTCCACCCATACCGCGTTGGTGTCCAGTCCGAGCCTGACTGTTGTTCATCTTTCTACATACATACATGCTTCTGGAGGACGACGGCTTCGTCCGCGCTTTGCCTTTGAGTGAATGTAAAGAAAGAAAGAAAACAGAGAAGCCAAGTGCACCCAAGGGAGGGATGGGAGGGCGGCACGCCGCCACCACACAGGGATTTTACACGAGCGAGGGAAGAAGAATTTTGTTCTTAAAACACACAAAAAATTAGATATTCTTACCTTCGCGAGTTGGGCTAAATTTCTTTTCTCGACAATGTGTGTTTTTTGATTGATGGACGATGTCCGGTGGCCTTCTCGATCCGCCTCCTTTGAGCGCGGGCGATCAAGGGTCAGATGGGACTCGAGGGGTGTACCACAGGCGAAGCAGCAAGGCTCATTACCGGGGGACAGCACCAACAGCTGCGTGGAGACACATCCTGTGGACCAGGCGACAGATAAAAAAACCAGTGGAAAGCAGCGAGGACTGGAGCAGAGATGGACCAAGAGAGCGACGAAGTTTTTGTGGAGCAGAATCATCGATGCGTAATGGGTGGGGACCTGCTGCTACAAAAAACGAGCAGGGTGATGGGGCTTCTGGGACTCGGGAGTCGGGCAGCGGGCAGCGGGCAGCGGGCTGCGGGCTGCGGGCTGCGGGCTGCGGGCTGCGGGGAGCGTGGGGCGTGGCGTGCGCGCGCGTGGGGAGAGGAATGGGAGGCGATGGAGGGGGCAAACAGGTTTCGAACCCGAAGCCGGTGGCGGAGTGAGTGGTCAGGTAGCCATCTAGACCAGCCAGCTGGTTTTGCGGATGGACATGGCATACCACCTATACACATACGTAAAATGCTAATTACAAAGTTCGACATCGGGGAAAGACGAGGAGAAAGGACTGTTCATGGGTGGAGAGGGCGGAGTCAGTTTCTTGGAAGGGGAAGGTCTGGGTGGTGTGGGTGGAGGTGTGGAAAAGATGAGACTGGATACAACAGGTGGGTACAGAGCTTAGTTCTAAAACTCTTTGCCGGCTATTTCTTTCTTTTCGAAGACCGGATTTATGTGTCACGCCCGCCGCCGACGCCCAAGCGTGAGCAGCGTAGCCTTTGCCCGTCACCGCAAACCACACTCCCCGCGGAGGGGGGCGCAGCTTCCTGCCGTTCACCTCGAAAGGCAGCGATGCATCGTACATGTACCCCTGCTCCTCCTGCTCGCGCGTAATCACCAGTACGAGCTTGCCGACCTTCTCCGTCGTGGCGTCGAGCTCGCCCCAGCCGGCACATTTTCGAATCGCGCCACCGTCGAAAAGACTGGGCTGTGCAGCTCGCTAGCTGGGACGCATGCGTCGCGCGCCTGCAGCACCTTGGCGTGCCAGCCGAGATGCGCCGGACATAGCACGCACGGCTTCATCCACTTGCCCTCGGCATCCTTCTTCACATCCCCCACGCACCCAGTCACACACGGCAGGCCCGCCGGCCTTGTAGCGAGCCCAGCGTGCCCGCGGCCGCCTCCCGCGCAGCACCGCCGCTGGGGACGACACGCTGCGGAATCGGATCGAGCCCATGCACGGGCAAAGAAGGACGCTGCAGAAGCGGTTGGAGAGGCAGCTGGCGTCTGCCGTCACAACGAGTCCCAGCGCTGGTTGGACATGCGCGTCGGCTCGCCCGAGGACTGCTGTCGCGACCCTCCCGTCGTGACGCAGCCTCCGACGAGCTCTGCAACCGAGGAGAGTGAGGGTGCGCCTCCCCTCACTGCTGGCCTGGCTGCGCATCGCCCCACAAAGCACCCCCTCGAGCATCTCTACAAGTACAAGTACAAGGGCGACCTTCTCCAAGTCGTCAACACGCCCGGCGGCTCCGGCAAGACTTTAGCCTTGGCCACCCTCCTTGCGGAGCAGGAGGAGATCCGCTCTCGCCGTCGGCAACGTGGCAGCTAGTCGAGAGACTCGGTAGTTGTGACCCCCCTCTGAGTGAGGACAGGAGAGAGAGCGTTTTGTGGTGTTGGTGTACGCAATAACGGGACAGGGTAGTCGTTCTCTCTAGCTCCCCTTCTAGCTCTTAGCATGAGCTGCGCCCTGTGTCCGACCCCTTTTGCGCAGCAACACCTTAAACTTTTAGGCCCTCCAAATTCGGGTCGGAGCGTAGCGGAGTGGGCCCCGAGTTTGAAAAGGGCGACGGACGCTTGCGTCGTAGCCTCCAACAACGCCTCCCCGGCGCAGAGGGCCCCCCGGAGGGATGCTCAACCGCTCCACGCCACGCCGCTTGCGGCGGTCCTCTTCCCGGGTTCCCGCTGAGGCGCGTCCCCTGGCATGGGCGCTGCTCTCTCCACTGGAGGGTTGGTTTCCACCCGCGGACTCGCTTCAGACGAGCTCGCTGTACGGGTAGTGTTGTTCATGGACACGGGGCTCTCCCACAACCACGCTGACCCGGATCCCAGGACCAACGACAGAGGTGAAACGACATTCGGCCCGCCGACACAATTCAACAACTGGACACGATATCTAAATGCGGCGGAGGCCAATCTCGGGTTCCCTTCTCGATTCAACGCGGGTTCTGGTGCGATCACCGTCCTTCCCCCGCGACACCGCCTCTTCCTATCTCTCTTCGCAGTCTCTCTCCGATTCTCGCTGCAACCTTCGTGCCACCTCGCGGTCGCCCCCTTCTCGTCGTGCTCTCCCTGAGAGACAGCTTAGTTCTAAAATTCCGGGCTATTTCTTCATTACCAGTCCGCGCCAGTCCGCGCCCTTGTCGTGCCAGTGTGCTGTGAGAGAGGCTTGTATTTTAAGAATTCTTCATTATTAAAATCCCTATCATTGAAAGTAGCAGAGGGGTCGGACCACACGCTCTCCGAATGGGATTTTCTGCCCTGCCGCTGTCGCGGCCCCGCCTGCCTCCCGGAGGCCCGCCCGGCCATGCAATCCGCCGCCGGACCGCCCGGCGGGTCCAACCCGAAGCGGGCGACCGGCCGTTCGCACCGCTCGGCCGGCGGGGCGAGCCCCGCGGCCCTCGATCGCTCGCCCCGGGTCGTGGCCCGACCGGCCCACGCGCACGTCCTGGCCTCTACCGCCGCTTTCGGCGGCGCAATTTGCGCCTTCATCGCTCTATGGATCCT